TGTCGTGAGATGTATCCATTGCCGTCCAGGTCGTACATATTAAATGCCCACTTCAGCTTCTGCTCTAATTTACCACGAGATGTGACTGAAAGAGCACAGATGAACTCTCGGAAATCTATCGTGCCGTCGCCATTTGTGTCGAAGGTGCGGAAGACGTGCTCGGCAAACTTCGACGCATCTCCGTAAGGGAAAAAATTGCCATAGATCTTCTTAAATTCTTCTACTGACAGGTTTCCTGATGGGCAGTCTTTAAGGAATCCCTTGTACCATTCCTGTAGTTCCTGCTCATTAAACTGAGTAGCGTTTCTAAGGTCAGCCAATTCTTCGGGTTTAAGTTTGCTATTTTGTTTACCCATTGCTAAGACAGTTTACCTACAAAGACAAAAAGGTACTTAACGTAAGACCACTGGCAAAACGGCGAARCGACTGTTGACACTGATTAAAATAAGGAAAATACACAAGAATTTTTGTGTGTGYGTGCGTCACGAGATTGAAAAGCAGGTTTCGAGCGGTTAAAAAAACATAACGCCACCACGACCTTCAAATGGCTTCCTCCATTAACCAATGAACATCGAAAAATCCTCTGACATGTAAACCATCCAATCACAGTGGCTGTCTGATCGGAAGCCATTTAAAGGTCGGGTRCCGTGGATTTCCCACTCCTACGAGATTATCAGCTTCAAGAACGCAGACATACACTAAACAGCCAATCCAGACACACGAAAGCATTATTCGTTTAGCATGATATACAGTCACGATAACGTACACAATTAAAAGTTCATTTTAAAATCCGTTAAGACACAATTGGAGGCATTTCCACCGCATGCGGTTACAAAAGTGCTTATAATCGAAAGATGGCAATTTTAGAATTTSAAAAGTACTGTCAATCTAGCCACCAATAGACAAATAGTTTTCAAAGTATGGAGTACTTGACCTGATTTGACGATGGAAGATTAACTACAAAGCTTGTTCACATAAGATTCCATATCAACAAGCGGAGTTTTTCAGTGAAAACCAAATATTAATATTCGTGCTCATTACGCACGACTGACCACAAGTTATCAATAAATATCGACCAATAAAGAGATAGTGAGGATAGCGGCGATTTCTAAATGCAACGGTGACCAATCTATAGGGGAGAAGCATCAAAGTAGATGGGTAGTTATAGAACATGAGAAATTATACAATTCCTTGATGAATAATTTGAACAGTTCTTGGTTTTTGACGTTTGTGTGGGAAAGAAGAAACGATATACGACCATGATGACACTAAATGCAAAGCTTTTGATAACGGGACGCAAAAATAGCGTCAACATGGCCTCCATGWTTTCAAATTACGTGAAGCAAATACTTGTCCATGCATGAGGATGATACTTGTCGGGTTGGTAAAAATAACATCGATAAATGAGATAAACATGAGCTACAATAGGCAAGGTTTTGAATATATTCAGCAGTAGAAACAAAAGGCCCGAACATTAAATGAATAAACAAATGACAAAATTAATTAACAGGTTAGCAAGTTAGTAGCAGTAAATCAACAAATTGACATATATATTTCCCACCAAAAGTCCTGATATTAAAATGGCGCGAAACCTAAAGAAATGTTTCCGTATGCTCAGAAAAGCGGCGGGAAAAAAGCAACAAAAATAAGATAAAAACAACTGAAAAAATATATTAAGTTTTAGCGGTTGAATCACAGCGTGAGACAATCACAACAGAGCTAGGCTCCAACTAGGTGAAAGCCCAAGGATCAAATTGGATTTTAGAAGTTTGTTTTGGAAACTATAGGGAGACTGAAGTAATACTGAGGGAATTATGAGGATCTGGTAAGCATCAAACTTTTCAGTTAGGAATCGTGAACATCTCCGTGAAAATGTTATCCAGACTTGATATATAAACCAGAAATGTTAGGTTTGCTTTCATGGGAGTAAAAACAAGGCATTAAAATCCATGGGCATGTTGCACTCATATCGTGTTTTTATCAAAACAGCAGGAAAACAACTAAGTGAAACCCGATTTWAAAAATATGATCAACTCACAAGGAAACAATTATGCACATTGACTAATCTTTCTTGGAGTCCAACAACACGAAAACATGAATTAAAAATTAAAAGTTATGTTTCATTCATTCAATATGTTTTCGCCGAGAACTGCCCTTTTATTCGTAAGGGCGTTGATTTTGTATCGATCTTTTTAAGAAAATCGAGAGACTTTCATCGCGAATCGGAGGTATTTTTAGAAAGGCTTTTCCATGTTCCAGGAATTTATTTCTGAGTTGTGATCAAAATCTAGAGTCAAAGAAGAAAAACAAACCAAAAACAAGCAATGACAGGGTCTTGCGGTGGTTTTCAAAATTTATTGATAATATGAAATGACAAATACATAATGAATAATTACAAAGTGGTTACGTTGAAAACATTGTCACTAATGTATGAACAAAACTATACAAAGATAAAGTCAAAATCAATACTTSAAACACGAAAAGACGAGTTAATAATAAGTAAGTCAAATGCATAACGTTTATGAATATCATGAATATTACGATTGCGCTACGATTGCGCTACGATTACACCAGACGAACATGCATGTTACATTCCCTCACTAAATMTCAACATCCGGGACATCTCTCATCCAAACCGGTCAAGCAGGTTCTGTGCCTTCAAACTATGAAACATAACAGATACTACAGTGAGCAGGACTGGGGACCAGTCGTGATTAGCATTGAATTCAACTCAAAAGAACACTGCATGACTGACACAAACGAAAAGCAAGGACGTCAGCATGAACTACACAAGCAACTCGCTCACCTTAGTATGTCTGWTATGAACCATTTATTCAACGTCTTTGGTTGGTGGCTATGTGCTCATGGCCATAGGCGTGATGACGTAGTCTTGGATGCTTTACGTGCTAATAAGTACGGTTGTGGTGTGATTATGGCTGATTCAAATGGATAACATGGCCAGGTCTTGTCTTGTCTTGTCAGGGTTTTGTGCAAAAAATCAATCAACTTTCAAATACGGAAATGAGCCATGAACGAACAAAAGAAATCTGGATCCAAGAATCGATGTTCGAAGTGAAAGATTTTCTTCAATCAGGAAGGTCAAGAATGAAGAAGAGAAATATTTTAAAAAGCAAAATATCCCAGAATCCAACCAGACTAGGTGGAAACTATGATTTCATCAAGCATAATTTATACTTTTAATGTTGAAAAATGAAAAATGAGTTGGAAGACGGAACAAAGACGATACACGACCAGGAAACTGGGCCGAGATCAAAGGGTATTCTAAGAAGTCACAAACTAATATAAGTAGACATAGCTATAAGCGACCATTCAACCTTAACCAGCAAAAATAATTTTCTTGCACAAAATTGAAAACAAAAAAAAAATTGGCTCTCTTTGGGAACGTATCAGCTTATTTGGGATGACCGTTGTTGCGTTTTSATGTCTCGTAACCTTTTCTGGTTTATGAAATGAAGACAATGTTACGGAATTACCAGTCAAAAGGTGCGAAAGACTTAGCTTCTTATATCATAGCAGTTTTTAATCAAATACTATAATTAGTAACCTAGAGAAAAGATTTGCTTGAAACCACGATGCTAGAACGCACAGCTGTCGAGAAGAGCGAGAGAGAAGAAATGGATATGGAAATGTACTTAAGGAGAAGAGAAAATGACGACATGGCAACACCACAGACTGACAGAGATAACAACTATTTGACCTCTGGCGATGTAGGGAGACGCAGAAAACTGACCGGCTTTACATAATGGAAATATCACAGGAATAGAACGAAGAAGAAAGGAAAAAAAGAATATAATTGAAATTAAGAAATGGCAATTTTAAAGAAATATGGATTTTTTTAGTTAATGTGTTTTTTAGATGACAAGGATTTGAAAACGTTCACAGAACAACCGGCTTCACAAACTATCCAATAAAATCCATATAATTTTTGCATTTTACATTTAGAATCTGTCATGTTATCAGACTTTAAGATCAAAGCAGCTAATAGGGTTGAGTGGAGCTACATTCATTAATCTTACTATGAGAATAAAAAACCCTAAGTGTTTGGGATAATAAATCTAGAGGAGCTAAGAATATTTATTCAAAGGCTGAATGAATATTAAGTTGGGGTGTAAAGACATGTTGAATAGATTAATGCAATAATAAACTCCAATTGTTGTGTTACATGAAGAATTAGATTAACAAATTTAAGACAAACGATCAGCTGGCCTCTGATGGCCGAAAAAAGGAGAAAATATCATGAAATAGTTGGAAAAAATAAAACCTGTTAGRAATCGATGTTGTTAGTGTAATCACTTTGAAAGGAGAGGAATCGAAGTTGAATCGGAAATTCCCCGTTAATTTCAGGATTTCCAACGGCTGTCATCGGTGAGGTTTTCTTTAGCGTCTTGAACTAAAGATGAAATCCCACACGAAAACAAAACATGAAAAGAAGAGAATAGAATCAAACGAAAATAAAGTACTCTTTTACCTTATTTCTGTAAACGAATTTCGTCGGCGTGGAAGGATTTTTCGCGGCGACCTCAATAATCAATTATTATGTAGAATAGGAGTTTTCATTTCTTGATTTCCGTCAACAACACGTGTGGCGGTGGCTTTTATCACAAACGAAATACRAAACGATCATGAGTGAGGTAGAGCTATGGGATAAGAACTCGCCAACCAATCGGAAAACGCTATTGTTTACCCTTCAGTTTCGAATGCGCATGAATTTTGAATGAATTTCTTTTTGAACCTTTAAAAATACGAAGAGGCAAGTCTGGAGGACGTCTTTAGAGATCGTCTCACATAAGACGTAGAATTCGATAGTCAAGTAGATGTAAAAAAATCGTAGCCAATTTGATGTAATTTACCTGCTCAACGATTGACATCTTTGCAATATTTGTTTACAAGAAAAGCTTTTAGCTGCCATACGAAAACACCAAGTAAACTCCATTGAAATTTTGAATTAAAACCAATAATAAACAAACAAGCCGAAAAACCTCTGTTTTTGACACAAATGGAGGAAGGAATAGTGGCTAGTTCTCAATTCAAACTCACCTGTATTAAGCTGGAGGCCTTTCAGCTCCAACGGAGGCAGAACGAAATGAATCTGGATATTTTTTGATCATAAAGACATTGCTGTTTTTTACAGAAGGGCAATTGATGTTAACAGGTGTTGAGAGAAAGGCTGTGTTTGTATATATAAGATAGCTACACACAACAGGCAGGCAGGCACTACGTGGGAGACTACACCTAATAGGGCGACAACCAAAACGCCGGGGAGAATCTCTAGCCCAATGAGGCATCACGAAAGCACAACTCAAAATGCATCAAATGAACTACTCAGCTGAAATGCCTGAATTACGAATTAGAAAAACATGGTCCTTACAGATACAGGAATAGATGCCCTGGCATGCTAGGTACTATAGTTGCAGTATACCTATATTATATTTCTATTTATATATAGTCTTTTTATAAAAGTACATAATCATTTAATTTATAGCATACAGAAATCATCAGCATCCTCTCATGGGTGGATGTTCCAAGAAGCTGAAGCATGGCTTTCCGTGGGATTAACGCCACACTGAAATGGTTTCCATGACATTGAAATGGTTTCCATGACACTGACATGTTATTTTTTCCCACTGTTCTTGTTATTGTTTTGTATTTCGACTAATTGGGTTGATTTGTTCTTTGTTATTGTTATTTTTTCAGAATTATTCAATATTTTTCATTTGCACAAAATCTGCTGTTTCGTATAAAGGGGCATCAGGGCATGTCATATGATTTTTCGATAATGATAATCAAATACTAGGGAAATTCACTTCTAAGGCACCTGTCACAGACGGAAATTAACCTTGATCGTTTTACAAAAATTCTCAATAATCAATTTCAACAGAAATTCTTCTATTGGTTTGCTGGGATGTCAATTCTCTTAATTACTTTCAGAAACCGTGGAATCAATTAATTAATATACGACAGAATCTTTTTTGAGAAGAAAGATTGAAAAAAWATATATACAAGTCTAATGTTTAACAAGGCTATTTTGGAGGTGATTGAAAAATATTCCAAAAAAGAGGTACCGACACATCTCCTGTGTTTGGCGTATGCGTAGTCTTTGGCAATTTTGACGTTTTAAAAATAGGAAACTATAGAATAAGAAGGTCGTTGACTCGATCAATTGTTAATGAGTTTGAACGTCCTTTAATAACATTGCAGTGGGTGCAACCATCTGCTGTCTTTCAAAATCTGCTTTGAAATAATCTCGAGTAAATTTTATCATCCGGATATGAGGCGTCTTTTTCGAGATGGAATGCTCTGGTGTTTTCTTGCCCTCGTAATTATGACGTTCCTAAAGTCCACTGAAATGTTATTCTCTGTAATTCTACTTTAAGAGCTACTTTATAAAATCCACTAAACCTCGATGACTATTTATTTTATTACAAACAAAGCAGGTAATTGGTTTAAAAGAAGTTGTTTTTTGTACCAATAAGGTACCCTAAACCCGAGACCACTGCAAAAAATATGAACAGAAGACTGTCTAAAGTACATTTACAAAAGGAAATGCAAGATAAAATACTTCCTGCTCATGTTAGAAATGATCCCGAGCACTTAACCTACTGCAGCAGTGGATGTAGATCATAGTATTAATGATGATGACGACGACGACGATGATGATGAAATGAAAAAGGAAGCTGGGTTGAACCTTAAAATCTGGATCAATTCATTCCAAAACAGACCTAAGTCTATATATTCTTAAGAACATAAGAAAAAAATAGATATTTTAACTGAATTTGGTTCACAAGATGACCATAATTTTCTAGAAAATTTTACCAATTACAAGAAAAAGACCAGAAAAAATAAGGAATTTTGTATGGCATTATCTTAATGGCTATCTATTTATAAACGATCTATAACAAGATTAATAACAATTAAAGTTACAAGGCATAATATTATGTCTCGTTTTCTTGAAATATATGTTCAACTCATTAAGGAATGAAGAAAGGAAGATAGAGAAGAAAAGAGAGAGAAAGAGAGAGAAAACCCAACAAAGAATGAAAGAACGGGAAAAAAATTAAACCAGAAAACCCTGGAGAAAAATACAGGAGTAAACCAATGAACAACTCTACTCACAACCACACAACCATAGTGGGTGTGCAATAAACCCCTTGCAGCATGTCGGAATGCAGCTCAATAGGTTTTCAATTCTCATGAGACTGGAATTCTTTTGTTTTGTCTTTCAAATTGAGCTGCTTTGACGTCAAATGCAAGGGGTCTATAGAAGTGAATAGTGATGCATCATCATCAACATTTCTTATTACTCTTATTATCATTAGCATCACTACTCCAATCACTTTCGGCATTATTAATAACATCATAATAATGTTAATGATGATAAAGGGGTAAATTATACATCGTGAAAAGATGAAAAAACTGACGTTTTGGATGCTAGTCCTTACTTTATCTTTTCACGGTGTATAATTTACCCTTTTGTCATTACTGTTTCATTAGAAACACCAACGCAACTCACACTAGTTTTTAGCTACTTATCTCATCATAATAATACCTTTTCTGATAGCTCCTCTTAGCCCTATCACTATCGTAACTATCTCTTTTTTCATTTGCTTGCTGCACTTTAACCATTATCCTATTGGTATTATAGATTCATACAATTTTTATTCCAATCAATCAGACTAGACAGACTAGATTGCTAATTACTTTACTTGTTTATGATCTTATTGATATTAAGTTATCTACTTCTTAATCATTTGTGATCATTTCAAAAAACGCCTTTTATCTCTTAATAAGATTTAGAATGATTAAGAATTTAGCATTAAATGTGGAGTAGAGTTTATGTAGACACCCTTGGTTGATAATGTACAAGAGCAAATCTAATTTTGTACATCAAAGTCTAAAATTCTAAAACGCCACCATGCCTCCGCCCTCGTAACTAAAACTAGCAGATACTCTGATACTCGCAACCAGATCTAATAACATATTTCAATATTGTTTATCTCTTTTTATATTTAAGGACTTAATCCCCACACTGTCCTTACTGGGTATAAATTTATATTCATACTATACAGCATTATTATCAATCAATTAACAATCTTGAACTTTGTATATTGTCCTCAAGCGTAGGGATATGGAATCCATATGCTATTCAGTATATTTTTATATCAACAATGAATTCTGAATCTGATTAAATGTGCTATTCAATACTTTCTTGGCCATTTAGTACTGACTGATCTCAGGCCTAGGGATATGGAATCCATATGCTATTCAGTATATTTTTATATCAAC